ATCTGCAGTGATTTTGAAGCCCCAAAATAAAAAGTCTGACTTTGTTTCCAATGTTTCTCCATCTATTTCCAATGAAGTGATGGGACCAGATGCCATGATCTTAGTTTTCTGACTGTTGAGCTTTAAGCCAACTTTTTCACTCCCCTCTTTCACTTTCATCAAGAGACTCTTTAGTTCTTCTTCACTTTCTGCCATAAGGATGGTGTCATCTGCATATCTGAGGTTATTGCTATTTCTCCCGGCAATCTTGATTCCAGCTTGTGCTTCCTCCAGCCCAGCGTTTCTCATGATGTACTCTGCATATAAGTTAAATAAGCAGGGTGACAGTATACAACCTTAACGCACTCCTTTTCCTATTTGGAACCAATCTGTTGTTCCATGTCCAGTTCTAACTGTTGTTTCCTGACCTGCATACAGGTTTCTTGAACAGCCGTGAAGAGACCCCACGTCCAAGGTGAGAGAAACCCAAGTAAGACGGTAGGCACGGAGAGACGGCATCAGAGGGCAGACAGACTGAAACTACAATCACAGACAACTAGCCAGTCTGGTCACACTGACCACAGCTTGTCTAACTCAATGAAACTAAGCCATGCCGTGTGGGGCCACCCAAGACAGCTGGGTCATGGTGGAGAGGTCTGACAGAATGTGGGCCCCTGGAGAAGGGAGTGGCAAACCACTTCGGTATTCTTGCCTGGAGAACCCCATGAACAGTATGAAAAGGCTCTTCTCTGGGGAGTCCTTAAACTCCCTGGCTCCTGTGGGTATATGTCCACAGGGCTGCAGAATGAAGAAATAAACAAATGGAAGGGGATTTGGTGGTTTGGGTGTGCTGACCAGACCCCTCTGGATCTCGGCCCCCCAACCTGTTTGTCTCTTAGACTCATTTTGTCCCCATCTCCATAAATGGCATCACCATCGCCCAGTTACTAAAGCCACACATTTAAGGCATCTCTCTGACTTTTCAGTCAATTCACCTGTATATCTTAGTTATTGTTGTTTAGTCGCTAAGTGGTGTCTGACTCTTTGAGACCCCATGGACTGCAGCTCACCAGGCTTCCCTGAAAACCTTCACTGTCTCCTGGAGTTTGCTCAAACTCATGTCCATTGAGTCGGTGATGCTCTCCAAACATCTTATTCTCTGTTACCCACTTCTCCTCCTGCCTTCAATCTTTCCCAGCATCAGAGTCTTTTCCAAAGAGTCAGTCTTCCCATTAGGTGGCCAAAGTATTGGAGCTTCAACATTAGCCCTTCCAGTGAATATTCAGGGTTGATTTCCTCTAGAATTGACTGGTTTTACCTCCTTACTGTACAAGGGATTCTGAAGAGTCTTCTCTAGCATCGCAATTCAAAAGCATCAACTTTTTGGCTCTCAGCCTTCTTTAGTTTAAATATTTCTCCTCTAGCTCCATCTCCACTGCCATCAGACCTGCCCTACATGATCACAAAAGCCTCCAAACTGATCTTCTTGCTTCTACTCTTTCTTTCTTTCTTTCTTTCTTTTTTTTTTTTTTTTTTGGCCCCTTGGCTGTGGGATCTTAATTCTCTGACCAGAAATTGAACCTGTGCTCCCTGAAATGGAAGTGTGGAGTCGTAACCACCGGTCTGCCAGGGAAGTCCCATGTTGCTTCCACTCTTGCTCTCCTCCAATCCATGCTCCAAAATTGCCAGTAATATTTCACAACTGAAAATGAAAAGCCTTTTATTGGGTCTCTTTGTCTATTTGGGAACAAAATAAAATCCCCAGTTCTTTCCCATGGCACTAACTCTAGTTCATCTCTTTTCTATCTGCTCCACTCCAGTTATGCCGGGCTCCCTTCAGTGTCTGATGTATGTCCAGCTTTTTCTGTCTTAGAATCTATGACCCTGTTAATTTCCTTCATAGCACATTTATTTATCCGTGCTAGAATGCATGCTACACAAGGGCAGAAACCGTTTCTCAGCCATAGGATTTTTTTTCTTCTTCTTGAGTAAGCTATTGTATTAAAATATAACATATTCAGAGAAATGCATGTATCATAAGTGATTTTACAAATGAACACACCTGTGTGTAACCAACACCCAGATCAGAAAATAAAACACTCCCAGCCCCTCAGTGTCCCCCACATGTCTCCCCGATGCCAAATATTACCCTGATTAGATTTGTTATGCCAATTTTGAACTTTACATAAATGGAATTATGACACACACACACACACACACACCCCACCCCAAATGCCCACATTCTAATCACCAGAATCTTTGAATATCTTACTTCACCTGTAAAAAGGTATTTTGCAGATGTGGTTAAATCAAGGATCTTGAAATGAGGCAGATTATGCTGGATTATTCAGGTGGTTCCAGTGTACACACAAGGGTCTTTAAAGTGGAAGAAAGAGGCCAAAGATGTCAGAGTGATCCAGCGAAAGGTCATCTTCTGTTGGTGGATTTCAACATGGAAAAGGGTGGCCATGGGCCGTGGAATATGGGCAGCCTCCAGAAGGTGGGAGCAGCAAGGAAAGAGATGCTTGCCTGGAGCCTCCAGACGGGAACAAAGCCTTGCAGATAACTAGATATTAGTCATCGAGAGCCATGTCAATCTTCTCACTTGCGAAACTGTAAGATAATAAATTCGTGTTGTTTGAAGCGACTAAACCTGGAATAGTTTTGTTACAGAAACAATGGTGCCTCCTACTTTTCCCCTACAGGTGTTGATTCTTCTAAAGAAGTTCAACGCCTTGTCACGTATTTACTGGGTCATTTATGAAGTGCTTGGTCAAGTCTTTTATGCACTTTTCCACTGAGTTTTCTTGTGGATTTGCAGGTGTTCTTTCTCTGTTCTGGATACAAGTCCTTTGTCGGATGTATTTGCCACATGTATTTAGAGTGGGTTATGCTCAGGGTGCTTTAATAGTACCAGCGCGTGGTAGGTCCTAATAAAAATGAGCTACGCATATACTTGATTCTGAAAACTCCTTTAAGGAAAGAATGCTCGGAGAGGTGACGCTACATACGGTGTAAGCGGTGTAATTGGGCGGTGTAAGCGGTGTAATTGGGCGTAAGACCTGGATCTCAAGTAGAGGGAAACAGGATCTTAAAGGGAAAGACTCAGAATGCGGGTAAACAGTCAAAGTTCACCACTCCTAGCGTGAGGTTTTAGGCCACAGGCATTTAAACACAATTTCCTAAAGGTAATTTTAAATTAATTTTCATTCATTCCAAGAGTGTCCATGGAAGGTAGCAATGGATCAGCCTGCTCTAGGCACTGAAAAGCCAGCTGAGAACAAGAGACAAGATCGTTGCTGTTAGAAGATCTACAGGGAGAGAGACAACAATAGGTAAACATCATAAAACAATTTCACACATTGAGAAATAAACTGGGATGAGACCCTAGAAGGGAAGCGAGGGTTGATTTAGCAACAGCCCGACCGCCTCGTCGCGGAGATCCCGCCCTCGGGCCCGCCTCCTGTTTTGCATACCCCTCCTGACTGGCCAGCGACGGCTGGCTCCGCCCCGCGGAGCGGGCAGCTCGGGAAGCGCGGGGCGGACACCGCCAANTGAGGACGTGGAGAGACGGTGGCCTGCCTCTGGAAAAGGGCAACCAGACCGGTGGAGACCTGCAAAAGTCGGGGGAGCGGTCTTCTTTCCCCAAACAACAGGGGCGGACATCACCCAGTTCGCCCACCTCATCTTAGAGGCAGGAACTGCCCAGGAGCCCCGGGTATGGTTGAGGGTCTGAGAATGCTAACTGCAAGTCTTTGGAGGCCAGGAGGCGGCTCCTTGGTTCTGTTTTGCTGAGAGGGGTTGTGTGTGGGGAGGGGTGAGGGGAGGAAGTTAATCTCATTCTAAATCCAGCGGCACCCTTCCCTGCCAGGATTCCGGAGCTCACAGACTCCTAGAAAGTTTCCCCAGGTCCCTTCCCCTTCCCCCGGGGAGGTGATGGGGGTGCGGGTATCTTGCGGGTGAAGGCAGCGGAGACAACTGGGAGTCCAACCCGCCTTCTGGAGGGAGGAGTCCCGGCGGCCCTTCCCTGCTGGCCTTCTCCCAAATGGCGCAAGGTCTGGAGCAGGTCGGATTTGGGAATTCTGAGCAGTGCCCCAGATCAGAGCCTGAGTAAACAGGGAGCCACGTTTCCATCTCTCCCATCTGAGGGCAAAGAGGGCGACTGGTTGGGGGTTGGTGAGGTGGCCGGGGTGACATCACTCCGAGGAGGGGGCGGGGCTGTTAGGACAGGAAGGAGGAGAAGGCTTGAGAGGGTCAGGGCCAAGGCCTGCTGGAGTCCAATCCACCCTCTCTTCCCCAAAGTGCCTCATTCTGGGATGGTCAGAATTGGAGGGGCTAGGAAGCATATCCTAGAAGTGACCACAGTCATCCAGCAAGCCGGGTGGGTGTGGACAGTCGGTGTGAGCCGACAGCCTCCGTTCTGGGTCTCCAACTCTGGGGCCCAGATACCTGCCTTTGGCCCTGTGCGAGGCATCTACCCCGATGGAGCCTTTGTTTCAGCCCTGACCCACAACCCCACGTGGCCAAATTTGCTGGTAGATGAGGCTCTGCCCTTGTGCTCCGGGCTGTGGGTTAATCAGAGCCTCTGGGGGACCAGGGTGGTACTGAGGGTGCTGGGCTGGACCCTGCCTCCACCCTCAGCCTCCCTGCCTGGAGCGAAATGCCTGATCCTGGCTGCAACACCCCCTTCCCCCATCCTGGACCAACTACTCCCAAAACCTCACATTACACAAACGCCTATCAGGCTCCCCTTGAGTGTCAGACGCTATCCTGAGAGCTGGGAGCAGTCCTAGTCCTGGCCTCCTAGGTGCACCCGGGTAGGTGGGGTTGGGCTTGTAACTGAGTGGGGACGACAGGATGCAATGAGAGGGCTTCACGGAAGAGGTGGACCCAGAAGGAAGGATTGGAAGCTGAGTGCCTGGGAAGATGGCCTCCTCAGAGGCAGATGCTACTATCATTGCTGTCTCATTCCATTCCCACGCCCCTGAAGAAGGCTCTGGCACCGTGCCCAGCCCAGATGTGGGAGGAAGGAGCCAGGGAGCAGGGCTGGCAGATGTGCTGCATCCGGAGAGGGAGGGATGCCAAGATGCCAGGGTGACCAGGCAGCCAGGCTCTGGGGCCAGGGTCAGGAATGGGCCCCACAGGCCCCTGCTTTTCTGGCCTTGCTGGTCTGCAGCAGTCGGCCTAGCCTCATGGCCTGAGTAGCAGCTGGGTCCCAGCAGCAAGGAGGGAAACCAGAAACAGTCTCAGAAGAAACGAGAGCTTTTGACCAAAACCCCAACGTCTGCTTGCCAAGGGCCAGGTGCGGGGCTGAGCCTGGGGACTTGATCTCTGCCCTCCGGAGTCTCCACAGCCCAGCCAAGGAGGCAGGAATGGGATCAAACCAGCACTTGTGAGTGAGCCACAGGGGCTCTGCAGCAGTGAGCCCTGCAGACAGAACAGGCTTGAGGGCCCTCTGCTGAGATATGCACAAGATTTTTGCACCGCCTCGGAGCTGGAGGGGGAACAGCCACACCCCGAACCCCCTACCCACCCCTACTGCCCTGGCAGAGGAAGGAAGGCCAGTGGTCTAGTGGAGATAGTACTTGTACTGAGGCACAGAGTGATGTGAAAAGACTGCCCCGAAAGTGGGAATTATCCAGAGTGTCAGGGGTGGGGTTGGAGGAAGGCCGGGGCACAGCTACTGCAGCACCACCCCTGTGGGGCCCGGCATGAAGCACTGGATGATAGCCTGAACTTGGGCCAGAGGCCAACCACGTGGGGGAATCGGGTGCCTGTTGCTTCCCCCTTCCCCAACCCAGTGCCCAAATTCTTTCCTGCCCAGCACCCCCTAGTTGCCTCTGAGCATCCCAGGACGTGGTTTTTCTCAGCCAGCTCCATCCCCGCTGAGGACAGGAGCTAAGTTTACTTTCAGATGCTTCGCCATCAAGCTCCTGTTTGACTTTGATGCTGTTCTGTCCTAGTGGAGGGAGGCAGTGGGGACAAACAAGGTCCTCAGTTCTCGCTGTGTTCCCTCTGCCCACTGCCACAAGCACCCGTAAAAATAGAAAAAGTCATTAATTATTAAGCGCTGGCACTCTCTCTGCCTGCCTCCCTCCCCCACCCTGGACCAGGTGTGGCTGGCCCTGTGGGTACCTCTTTCCAGGCTGAGAGCTGGCTGCTGAGTCACAGATTTGAAGTCTTGGGCTCCTGACCTTGAGTCTCAGCCTTAGGGCCAAGCTCTGTCATGGCAAGGGGAGGAAGGTGAGTGGACCGCAATCCCGCAGATGCAGAGTTCCTGACGTCGGTGCCCTGAAGGTTGTGAACAGACCCCTGCCACCCTGCCAGGTGGTAGCTGGCCTCCTCCCATCCCTTTTGTCTTTGTGTGATCCCTTTCTTCCTGTGTCTGCCCTCTGTCCTTTTCCTCTCTCCTCCCCAGTCTAGGGGGCTCCATGCTGACCCCAACCAGGAGGGGCAGTGGGATTTCAGGGTTTCCTTTTAAAGACATCCCCCTGGCTCCCAGCCATTTTCTCTCGGGTTCTGGGGCATTGCCCCCAGGTAACCTTGACTGGCATTCAGAGCCCACTGCAGGAGACCCCAGAAAACTCAGGTCCAGGCGGGGGAGAGGCCAGTTCAGACTCAGTACCTTCCCAGTAATGGTCCGGTGTAACCATCATTCTGGCTGTGGCAGGCTGTTTATTACTCCAGACCCCACTCCCGGCCTAGCCAGCTCCTCTGTCCCCCCACTCCTGGGCCCCCTCCCTCTCTGGTCTGGGGTCTGCGCCCTCCCCAGAGCCGTCCCCAGTCCTCATCTAGCTGGGGTCCTTTCCCCAGCACTTGGCTCCACTCAGCCCCCTGCCCTGAAGCTTCTAGACTTCTCTCGTGATCCCTCCTGACAGCTCTGACCAGCTTAGCTTCCACTGTGATCCAACTTCCCTGAAACAATCTCTGAGATTCTCCCCCACCCCAAACTACTTCCACTGTGTTCTCTTCCTCCCCTTCCCTGGAATCACTAGGCGGCTCTGGTCACATTCGCTGCCTTCAACATCCCCAGTTTATAGTGTGACTGGCAGCCACCCCAGCCCACCCCGCTGGCAGTAGGAATACATGCCCAGCTCAGCTGCTCACCTGGAAGAAAAAGCATAAAGTGCAGTTGTTCTCGGCCCTGCCTGTGACCTTAGACTCTAGCCTAAGTTTCAGAGTTTCATGCAGGTCATCCACAGAGCCTGTCCCCCGAAGCCAAGGCAGGAGACAGCATCAGTAGCAATGGCCCCATTGCAGACCACCTGACCCAGTTCCCAAGGCAAAAAAAAGAAAAAGCTGTGATGAATGTGACCTTCTGTTTTTCCATTTATACCTGAGTTATTTGAAAGGGTTTGTGGATGAGCCAAATGCTCGCCATCTCGTTACAGAGAAAAGGGAGCTGGTGTGCCTCCCTCATCATGAACTAGGGGTGGTTGATCCTGCTGAATTTCCAGCAAGCTCACAGCAGAAATGGACCTGCCCTCTTCTTTGAAACCACAGTATGATTCTCGGCTTCCTTTATAAATATATATTTAAGTATAAATGAATAATATATACATATATATATACACATACTACCCTTTGCTTTTTAAGAAAATTTATTGGCGTAGAGTTGATTTGCAATGTTGTGTTAGTTTCTGTTCTGCAGCAAAGTGAACCAATTAGATATATATCTACCCTTTTTTTAGATTCTCTTCCCACATAGGTCATTACAGAGTATTAAGTAGACTCACCTGTGCTATGGGCTTCCCAGGTGGCATTAGTGGTAAAGAACCCACCTACCAATACAGGAGACATAAGGTGGTGCAGGTTTGGTCCCTGGATGGGGAACATGCCCTGGAGGAGGAAATGGCAACCCACTCCAGTATTCTTGCCTGTAGAATCCCTTGGACAGAGGAGCCTGGCGGGCTACTGTCCATGGGGTCACAAAGAGTCAGACACGACTGAAGCGACTTAGCACGCATGCACCTGTGGTATACAGTAGGTCCTTGTTCATTATCTTATACATTACCCTTTGTTTCTAAAAGGAATTAGGCATATATATGTGGAAATATCCACTCCAAATGTCATGGTACCCTCACCCAACTCCGGACCCACTTGAGAGGATTTTTAGGGATTCTGGCACCTGCCACTTCCTTCTAACCCCCCTACTCGCCACCGCACAGCCCCCTAAAGACAGACCGGGCTTTGAAGCCTGGTCCAGTTCTAATACCCAGCAAACCCTTCCACTCCCTCCCCAGTTCAGTGAGCTCCAGTCGTCCTTCCAAGCCCACCTCCAAAGCTGCTCCTTGTCTGAGATTCCCACTATCTGCACCATGAACTCTCCCTTCCCTATCTCCCAGGGCACTTTGCCCCCTGTATGCTGATGTTCTTATCACATTCCACTCACTCCTGCTTTCAAACTAGATTTATTGCTCACCTGGTATTGTTCTAAGTCCTCAGGGTGTCAGTGACTGAAACAGGCAAAACCCCTAACCTGTAAGCTTACCATTGTCAAGGGCAGGAGCAAGTTAATGCGCAATTGTTGGGTCAGGTAGTCGGCCGTAGGAGCTAGGAGGAAAATGAAGCAGGCAGGGCGTGGGGCTGGGGAGGGTGATTCTGAATCTGTTTGAGAAAGGCTTCCTGCAGGAGGTGACGTTAAAGCACAGACTTGAAGGCACAGAGGGAAGAACCCTGGGAGTGTCTGGGGAGAGGGCATTCCAGGCCAATGCTCAGGCCCCCTCACGGCTTACATCTCCTTCCAAGCCTGGAGTCTCCCCAGGGGCGGCCCCTGGGTCCTGGTTCTCTCCGGGTCCCCAAGGCTCAGCCCAGAATGAACGTTCAGAACAGGAATGGGAGGGGTCTTCTGACTCCGTTCTCAGTTGCTCATGCTCCTGCCACCCTCTGCCCCCTCCCCACCAGACTTGCACTTGGCCGCAGAGCTGGGGAAGACGCTGCTGGAGAGGAACAAGGAGCTGGAGGAGTCTCTACAGCAGATGTACTCCACCAACGAGGAGCAAGTGCAGGAGATCGAGGTGAGGGGCCCCCGGGCCCTATACATGCTCTCTGTCCTATCAAGGGCCCCTCAGTCTGTGTGTGCCTGTGTGCAGCTTAGGAAAAGGTACCCCATCTTAGCAGACCCAGCCTTGACCCAAAAGCCTTGTGCAGTCCACAACCTGCACAACTGTCCCAGGCAGCCCCGTTGTACCACCAGCTTGACCGCCTCCCTCCGCTGCAGACGAATACCCCAAAGCAAACCTGTTCCTGGAAGTGGGAGGAGGGCCCAGGCAGAGACATTTTCCCCAACACAGTTCTGAAAGGTAACTATCCCACCCCTACCCCCACCCCCCAGTATCTGACCAAACAGCTGGACACGCTGCGGCACGTGAATGAACAGCACGCCAAAGTGTACGAGCAGCTGGACCTGGCGGCCCGAGACCTGGAGCTGACCAATCAGAAGCTGGTGCTGGAGAGTAAGGTGGCCCAGCAGAAGATCCACGGGTGAGGGCCGGGAACCTGGGTGTGGGATGGTAAGGGGGAGGCCCCAGGGCTGGGTGTACCTGTGTGTGTGTGTGTGTGTGTGTGTGTGTGTGTGTGTGTACACCAGTGGGTGTGACTCAGGTTCCTTCCCCCAAAAGCCCAGGGTGTACCTGTGTGTGTGTGTGTGGGTGTGGGTGTGTGTACACCAGTGGGTGTGACTCAGCTTACTTCCCCCAAAAGCCCAGGTCTGGGAACCTGGGATGGCAGTGGCTTCACCCTTGTTGATTTGGGCTGGTTTAACATTCTGGCCACAACCCTTATTTAAGCACCAACTATATACCAGGCTCTGAAAATGTAGTGATGGGGATGCAAAGACACTGCCCCGCCCTCTGGGAGGGAAGGCAGGTACATGACTATTTATTGCAGTGCAAAGTGATAAGTGATAGAAGAGTGTACAAGGAACTGAGGAGACAGGGCTTCCAGCTTCCACCGCAGGAGGTACAGGTTTGATTTCAGGTCAGGGAACTACAATTTCACACATCGTATGGCCCAAAAATAAATATCAATTATTTAAGTGAAAGTAAAAGTCATGTCTGACTCTTTTCTACCCCATGGACTATACAGTCCATGGAATTCTCCAGGCCAGAATGCTGGTTTGGGTAGCCGTTCCCTTCTCCAGGGGATCTTCCCAACCCAGGGATCAAACCCAGGGATCAAATCCCCTCATTGCAGGTGGATTCTTTACCAGCTGAGATACCAGGGAAACCCAATTAAATAAAGTAAAAATCTTTAAAAAGAAAGGGACTTCTGGTGGTCCAGTGGCTAAGACTCTTCGCTTCCAATGCAGTGGGCCCAGGTTTGATCCCTGGCCAGGGAACTAGATCCCACAGGCCACAACTAAAGATCCCACACGCCTCAACTAAGATCAAAGATTCTGTGTGCTGCAACTAACACCTGGCACAGCCAAAAAAGTAAATAAATACATAATAAATAAGTAAATTTAAATAAATAAGTAGATAGATTAAAAAAGAAAGAAATCAAGGGAGGAGACATGGAGAAGTGTCGGCTTGGCCTGGGAGGTGGAGCAGAAGCGTGGGTCTTTGGCTGCCCAAGGAATTCCTCGTCTGACCTCCGCACCAGGCAGCGTGACTCAACCAGCAACCAGACTCAAGGTTGCCTGTCCGGCTCCAGCCTCCAAGCCCTCGCTGCAGCGAGGAGGGCTGGCCCCGTCCCCTGAGCGTCACTCCCATCCGTGTGTCCCCTGCTGACACCCCCAGGCTGACAGAGACCATCGAGCGCCTGCAGACCCAGGTGGAGGAGCTGCAGGCTCAGGTGGAGCAGCTGCGGGACCTGGAACAGCTGCGCGTGCTGCGGGAGAAGCGCGAACGCAGGCGCACCATCCACACCTTCCCCTGTCTCAAGGAACTGTGCACCAGCCCCCGGTAAGCGAGGGTGCCCTGGGCCCGTCTCCATGGGGTGAGGGGAAGGCAGGGTGGGCTCCGGGCAGCAGTGGGAGGAGGGTTGTTGCGTCCTCTGGGCTATTGCAGAGGCAGGTCGTGGAGCTAACAGCAGTCAGCAGCTGGTGCTATGAGCCCTGGCCACGTGCCCACCACGCTGCTAAGTGACAATTCTCACGGCAATACCGTGAGGTGTGGTTTATCATCCCCACTACTCAGAAGAGGAAATTGAAACTCCAAGGTCACCTGCTTAGTAAGTCAGAAGTCTCACCCAGGAGGGACGAACTACTGTCCCTTTCAGTTCCCATTAAGCCTTTTGAATTGGGATGACTTACACGGTGGGTGACTTTGCTGGTGGTCCAGTGGCTAAGACTCCACACTCACAATTCAGGAGGCTTGGATTCAATCAACAGTCAGGGAACTAGATCTCACATGCCCCAACTTAAGATCCTGCATACTGCAATAAAGATTGATGATCTAAGACTCAGCATAGCCAAATTAAAAAAAAAATTTTTTTTTAAAGAAAAAAATACACACTATGGATTTAATGGGTGTTTCAATAAAGGTCCTGGCAAGAGACAGCGCCCTGCCCAGGGTAACTGAGGACGAATCAATAAAGAGGTGTGGGGAAACCAGGGAAACACTGCCTCACCCTGGGGTTGCAATAGCCAGGAGCTGATACCATCCTGAGACCTAAAGGGACCAGGAGAAGGGAGGATACTGGAACTTAGAGAGCATGGAGCAGGCTTCCTGCCTGCCCCACAGTAACCAGGGAGGAAGCCCAGGGAGAGACATTCCCCACGACCTCTCTCTGCTCCCACCCCGGGACCTCCTGCCCGTGGCTCCCGTCGGCTGAACCCAAGAGAGAGCCAGGACACCTGGCTGAAGCAAGAGCAAGCTCCCAGGGCAGAGAGCCGGGGGAGAAGGCCCGGGAGTGACTCTAGATGGGCAGAGCATGCAGCCCTGTGGGGCAGAGAGATGCGGCTGGGGCCAAGGGCCTGGCCCGCGCGCGCCCGCGCCCCCGCCCTCTGCCCACCTGCCCCTGCTCCCTTCCAGGTGTGAAGATGCCTTCCGCCTGCACAGCTCCTCCCTGGAGCTGGGCCCACGGCCCCTGGAACAGGAGAACGAGCGGCTGCAGACCTTGGTGGGCGTGCTGCGCTCGCAGGTGAGCCAGGAGCGGCAGCGCAAGGAGCGGGCGGAGCGCGAGTATGCCGCGGTGCTCCAGGAGTACTCGGAGCTGGAGCGGCAGCTGTGTGAGATGGAAAGCTGCCGCTTCCGCGTGCAGGAGCTGGAGGCCGAGCTGCTGGAGCTGCAGCAGATGAAGCAGGCCAAGACCTACCTGCTGGGCCGGGAGGACCACCTGGCTGAGGCCCTGCTGGCGCCCCTCACCCAGGCGCCCGAAGCCGACGACCCCCAGCCCGGCAGCGGCGACGACACCGGCCCCCAGGATGGGGTCTCCTCTCCGGCGGCCTCCCCGGGCCACGCCGTGCGCAAGAGCTGCAGCGACACGGCGCTCAACGCCATCGTGGCCAAAGATCCGGCCAGCCGGCACGCGGGCAACCTCACGCTGCACGCCAACAGCGTGCGCAAGCGGGGCATGTCCATCCTGCGCGAGGTGGACGAGCAGTACCACGCGCTGCTGGAGAAATACGAGGAGCTGCTGAGCAAGTGCCGGCAGCACGGGGCCGGGGTGCGGCACGCCGGGGTGCAGACCTCGCGGCCCATCTCCCGGGACAGCTCGTGGAGGGACCTGCGGGCAGGCGAGGAGGGCCTGGGGGAGCCCAAGGCGGAGAAGAGCCTCAGCCAGCACGTGGAGGCCGTGGACAAGCGGCTGGAGCAGAGCCAGCCCGAGTACAAGGCGCTCTTCAAGGAGATCTTCTCCAGGATCCAGAAGACCAAGGCCGACATCAACGCCACCAAAGTTAAGACACACAGCAGCAAGTGACGGTTTCCCCCCATGGGTCAGGCCAGTGGGGGTCCCTCGAACCTGGGCCCTGCAGCCTCTGGTGAGTGAGGGAGCCCTTTTAGCAGCAATACACCCCCGAGGGAGGTTGTCTTCTGACCCAGGGAGCACGTGGGGGAAACCCACTCTCTGCTGATGATGGAGGCCTTCCTCGAGTCCCAGGAACCTCGTCACCTGCGCCAGCCCACAGATTGCAAGCCAAACATCCCCACTCCCCTGGGGATTCTCAGCTCTCCCAGCCCTGCCCCCTGACCCCCCGCCTTGCTCTCAGATTTGTGGCCAAGCTTCTAAAAGCCATTCTGGACCCGTTGACTTTTTTTTTCAACGTTGGTTTTCCTGAGAGATTTTTTAGCAAGGCAAGTTCTCCCTGACCCCCCTCGCCACAACTGGAAACACTTGAAGGGGGACCCCAGAGCCAGCTGTTGCAGGTCCTAGGGGTCTCCCGGACCACCCACTCCTTCTCCCTAGCTGTGACACGCTGTCATTCCCTTCGCACCAGGTGCCCTGCCTTGAGGGTCCTGACCGGGTTAGAGATGGCCCCTGCCAGGCAGAGCAGGAAAGCCTGAGCCAGGCCTGAGCAACCCTTGATGCCAGTACTGGTGAGGGCGGGCTTCTCCCTGGACACTCTCAGCCCACCGCAGATTTGTAGCCAATCAACTCAGAGCCAGCCTCCCCGGGTTCCAGCCCCGGGAATGCCTTCTGGGTATCAAGCCTTCCAGGGGTCCGGGCAATGGGAGCTCCCACCGCTGCACGCCTCCTCTGACTCACCGAGCTTGGCCTCTGCCTGTCCCCATCTCAGGGACCATGATGTGTCTCGTTCACCCCCATGCTCCCCACCACCAGGCCTACCCCACTGCAGGTCATGAGTGCCACCCCCAGAATGTCCTGGGCGTGCGCCACCAGCCCATGGTCCCAGCATCCTCCCCTGCCCCGCTTTACTGCGCCCCCCCCCAGGATGCTCACCCCACCCTGAGCAGTATTGAAATGGGACCAGATGGGGAATGTGTCTCCTCCTTCCCATAAAATGCCTGCTCTTAACCTCTCAGCTTTGTGGGGGGCTTTTGAGGACCCAGGAGGGTCAGGGACTTTATCTTGTGTTAAGGCTTCAGAAGATCCAGCTTCAGCTAAGAGAGGCCCAGATCCCCAGTTTGCCCTTCAGGGCCCCCCGTTCCTTCTACCGCCCATCCTGAGACCCTAGGGATTGGAGGAGGGAAGTCAGTGGCCCTGGCCTCTGTGCTGGGAGCCCAGTGGGGAACCTTCATGCCTTATCTGTTTCTAAGGGGTTTTCTTAACAAGCCTCCCAGCCTCCCTGGAGGCACCATGCTGCTCTCCGGGCAGCACTGTGATGAGACCTGTCAGCTGGTCCTTCTGTTCACACATCTTGGAAGCTTTTGTCCTTTGGAGCCGGACAGCTCCCTGCCCTCCGTGTGTCTCTGTCATCTAGGGTGGAGGGGGTGGGGAGGGACAGGACAGGTGGGGAAACGGCTCCTGCCTCTTTGCTCCCCACTTCTGTAGCTGCCGACCAGCGTGACTCACCTTTGAAGTATACATGAGAGAAATATATTTACAAATGCTTTATTCTCTTCTTTAATAAAAAAAAAAACGCACCAGTATTCTAAAAGCAGAAATGGCTCGAGCCCAGTGGTCCTGTCTGTGCATCTCATACACCAGCTCATACACCAGCCTCCCATCACACGGGCGGGGGCACAGCCTGACTTCACTCCCTTGTGACTGGCAGCCAAACAGCAGACTCTTAGAAGTTTCCATATTTGTTGAGTGCCAGTCATGCCAGAAGTGTTGCCTTGCCAGGTGCCCCGTGGGGTAGACTCTCCTTGCTGTACCGATTTTGCAAATCCCTCCCCCCAACCCACACCTGCCAACAGCCCGGGGAACCAGAAGTCAAAGAAGATGCTCCTAAATCTTTGGGGGAGTCCGTTTCTTGCACCCTTCTCCAATCTCCCATTCCTGAAAATGCGATAGCTTTGTGGATCCCAATCACACGTGGAAAAGCGTCCAGTCTTCAGTGGGAGTATGCTCAGGGACCTCCCACCAACCCCCATCTCCCTCTACATTCCACGAGCCAGGAGCAACTTTCCTTGAACCCGGGAGGTGAGGACTGTGGTGTGGGGAGCCCAGAGCTGGGTCCCAAACTGGCAAGGAGCTTTTTACATTATTGGAATAGCAAGGGGGGTTTTATAGCATGCAAGCAGCTGTGGGATCTTAGCAGCTGTGGGATCTTCTGGTCCTGCTGTGGCCTGTCTCCAGCGGGCCAGAAAAGATGTGTGACTCCCAAAGCTGTCAGACCTGAGAGGCAAAGGAAACTGGGGCCTGTATCCAGCCAGGCCTTTTAAATCACCCTTACCCTCAGCCACCTTCCCAGGCAGCGATACAACCTCCGACGCGGATCCGATCCCGAGACTCAGAGGTTAAGTCAGTAACTCAAAGTCACATAGGAACAGTCGAACCCAGACTTGATTAATTCCAGTATGCAATACTACATGTTCCCTGTCTCCACACAATGCTGAGTTCTAAAAGCCAGACTGACCTAGTGAAAGTTAGCAGCTCAGTTGTGTCCGACTCTTTGTGACCCCAAGGACTGTAACTTGCTAGGCTCCTCTGTCCCTGGGGTTTTCCAGGCAAGAATACTGGAGTGAGCAGCCATTCCCTTCTCCAGGGGATCTTCTGGACCCAGGGATCCAACCTGGGTCTCCCACATTGCAGGTAGACTCTTTATCATCTGAGCCACCAGGGAAGCCCCTAGGGCACTCAAGAAGAAAATCCTGTGGACCCCTACATGGGTGTGGTACCCCCAATCACAGCAGGAGAGAAGGGCTGGTGTCAGCAAGTTCCTTGGCTTCCAGGAATGGCTTGATGGTCCCTTATCTTCCCCTCTTCTCACCCCTATGCACATCCCTTCCTGAAGCACCCTTTCAGCCTATGGAGAACCAGAAAAGGGAAGAAGGCTGGCCTCCGCCTTCAGCATCACCCTTTTAAGAGAACAGGTGGCAGCTCTCAGGCCTGTTTTCTCCCAAAAGGGCCTCAATTCTGGAGGGTTCATGGCAACAGCAGGTAAAAGGAAATTGCCAGCTGCTCTTCTCTCCACCCCAGGGTAGCTGGTTCCATTCTCTCTGCTGCCCCCCTCCTCTCCCAGAATCCAGGCCACCAGATGGCCCGAGCAGGCTGTGTTTATTTGGGGCCATGGACACCTGCACTTCTCCTATCACTCTGGGTCAGGCACAGAGCTGGAGCCCAGCCTCAGAGCAACAATGCCACGGGATGGTGCGTTCATTATTCATAATCCCTGGGCCGTCAGCCTGGGCGAGTCCCTGGCTTTGCCTCCCCGAGCAGCTTTTCCCAGTCACCATGGAGATGCCTCTGTTCACTCTGAGGTTTTGGGACTAAGTCAGGTAGGCAGGGTCCCAGGAGACTCCCCTTAAAGCCTAGAGCCCCAAAAGCACACGTCAATTGCCATTCCCTTCCTAGTTTGGGTTTACAAAGCCAATGCTTGGGAAGTATTTCTTTTTTTCCCTCCAAAAGAATTTGCCTGCATTAGTGAGGCAAAGATGATGAAGCCTTGACTTGATGAAATCTCCTATTTCAAACAGCTAGCACTCCTAGGGGCAAGTTTTTCTAGGTAATTATGTTCTTCCTAAAAATAGAACCTGCTATTAAGAAACAACCACTGTGTTACTAATAATCACCAACATTTATTGAGCTCTGTTTTCCTTTTACCACTCTGCCTCTCAGCAAAGCAACTGAGCTAACCTTTAACTGTTTCCAAACACTGCTGGCTCTGTTTTAAACCTTTCTCAGAGTTAGAACCTCTCAGTTTTGGAGTTTATCTTTTTTAAACAGTTCTCTAAAAAGAGTTCTACTTAGCCTATCTGTAGCTGTCTGAATCTGTACCTATTTCCCCGTCCTCCTATCTTCTGGCTAGAAGAAATCGACCGGCCCGCCTCTTGTCCCACCTGGTGTCTGTCATGCTGAGCCTTCTTCACAGGTGCTCCGCGGGGATCTGCTTTTAGGATACTTTGTCAATGAACCTGAAGTTACTAAAACTCACCTCTGGCGGAACTCAACTTTCAAAAACACCTTTCCTGAGAATTCTTTTTATCAGTATCTTTTTTGATTACCTGTGATGCCCCAGGTTCTGGGTACTGGAGATCCAACAGTGAGCCACCACCCTCCTAGAGGTGATTACGTTCTGGCTGGGAGATAGGCAACAGACAGAAAAATAAGATTGAAAGCTATGAAAAGGGAAAAAAAGGATAAAGTGGAAAAGAGTAAACAGGGTGGAGATGAACCTGGGCAGGCCTCGTTGATGCTGTGAGATTTGGAGGAAGCGGTCGAGGAGGGCACAGACTGAAAGGGAGAGAAGTGGCGTGTCTGTGGTTCTTTTCACCAGGAGGCGGCCTTGAGAGCCCGCCAACGTCTTCTCCATGGCGGCAGCTACGCTCCGGGGCTTCCGGAACCAAGGAAGCCTCTAACAGGCTTCTCATGAGGGCAACGCTGGGCGTTCTGCTCGATTCCTGCCGACCGCAGGCGCTCAAGGCCTAGCGGAACCAAAGTCCTGAGGGAAGCGCTGCCCGCGGACCGCGAGAGGAAGAACACACCGGAAGCGGCCCCGAGGCCCGAACATGGCGGCCGCCAGGTGCCTGCGCTGGGGTCTGAGCCGAGCCGAGGCCTGGCTGCTGCCGCCGCCCGCGCATTACTGCCACCGGGCTCTGCACAAACAGGTAGAGGGCACCGAATTCCGGAGCGCCTACAGCCTGGACAAGCTCTACCCGGAATCGCGGGGCGCGGACACCGCCTGGAGGGTCCCGGTGAGCCAGGACGGCCGGCCTGAAGGGGCGTTTCCTGGGCGACGCCGGGGAGCCAGGGCCCCACGCGCGAGGCGAGCGGCTGGTCCGGGGGCAGACGCGCTCAGACGCTGCGCTTGCCGCGAGCCCAGGCCTGTTGCGTTAGCAACCGCGGGGTTGGGGCGGATGGCGGCACCCGGTATCGCTTGAGGTGTGCGGGCGCCGGAGGAACACGCTGGCTCTGCTTCTTCCAAGACCACCAACCCTTCCTCGTCCATTTGCTGTCTCTCAGGCCCAGATTCTTGTCCTCAGGGAAAACTGCCCCCCAAGGCGGACAGTTAAGGCAGGAAGCTGCCAAGTAGCTCTCTTTACGCGGTCCCCAGCCTCCAGCACGCCTGAGGAAACAAGGCTTCTGGTTCGTTTCCTTAGGATGCTCGCTGTGTGCAGGCGCTGTATCAGGGCCCGGGGGAAAATGAGGACGCAGCCAGTTCTGTTAAGTTTCCACCTACAGGACTAGAAGAGAGCGTTGTGTCATTCACTCACTCATTCAACAAACTTCTGTTGAGAGCATGCTGTGTACACTGCACTAGGCATGGGGGTAGAGTAGTGACCAAAACACAAAAATCCTGATGCTAGTTAGCTTATCCGCTAATGAAGGGAGACCAACAACAAATCAAAGCAGTGGAATAGCGTATGTGACAGGTACTTTGGAGAAAATAAAGCCCAGAAGGAAGAACTGCTAAGGTCGGGAGTGGGGTTACAGTTTTAAGTAGGGTAGTCTGAGGAGACCTCTGAGGTGATGCTGCAGTAAGGACCTGGAGGAAACAAGGCAGCAGGCCATGAGAAGAGGAGCGTTTCTTGTGGGGGGAACAGCAGGTGTCACCCTCTCAAGGGGTAGCATGTTCATCTGGTTCAAGGAACAGCAAGCAGGCCAGTGTGGCTGAGCAGGGGAGTCAGAGATGAAACTAAAGAGGAGAGGGGTTAGGGGAGGCCTGTTTATAGGGCTCATGGGCCTTTAGCTTTACTCTGAATGTGATGGAGGCAGAAGAGTGGAATTATCCAACTTAATTTTACAAAGATCACTCTTTCAGAGAATAGACTGCAAAATGGCAAGAACAGGAAGACCCGTGAGGAGATCGCAGTAATGCGGGCAACAGATGATAAGCAGGGGGACTTCCCTGGTGGTCCAGTGGCTAAGACACTGCACTCCCAGTGCAGGGGGCCCAGGTTTGATACCTGGTCAGAGAACTAGTAACAGATTCCACATGCTGCAACTAAGACCCAGTGGGGCAAAAAAAAACAAACAAAAAGATGATAAGCAGGGTGGAAGCAATAAGAGTCATGAGATTTGATCAGTTTCTAGATAAGTTTTAAAGGGAACGCCTACAGAATTTGCTAATGGATTTTCTCGGAGAAGTGTGAAATAAAAGAGGAACGGAAGTCTAGGGCCCTGAGCAATGTAAAGATTGAGTTGCCATTAATTGAGATGAAAGAATGGCAGTAACATTCATTTGTGCGTTCATTCACTCAGCAAAAAGTTTCTTGTGCACCAACTGTGTCAGAAACTGTTTCAAGCATTGCAGATACAGCCACGATAAACTAGTTCCCACCTCGTGAAGCTTAATGTTAACAGAAGGAGCAGACAGTAAATAAATGAGGAAAACATGTCAGAGAGTGAGAAGTACTGACTCGACGGAGGGCTTTGACATGAGAGCCAGGGAGCTGCTTCCGGTTGCCAGGAAGGGAAGTCTTTGAAGAGGCCAAAGGTTTGAGGCATCAGTTAGGCACCTGAGAGGAGACATCAAATAGCAGTGGGCTCTGCGGGTGTGGAGTTGGAGAAAGAGGTTTGAGTTTGAACCAGAAATATCACCAGGGATGATACTTTCAAAGGAGATGGGTGGAAGGCTCTAGGGAAAGAGTAAGAGAGAGAAGAGGAAGGATCTCAGGGACCTTTCAGTGTTTCAAGTTTGCAGAGAGCAAGCAGAGGAGAGTGAAGAAAGTCACGGGGAGGTGAGAGGAAACTGGAGAGGCCAGCTCAGAAGAGGGAAGAGCATGCTTGAAAGAGGGTGCCGCCCGGGGTCTCCAGCGATGCCGACGTGATGTACACTGAGGATTTCACCACCCAGGTCATTCTAAGATGAAGAGGGATGAAGGCAGCCAGAGTAGGGACAGGTGAAGCCCCTTTGAGCTTGGGAGGTCAGAAGAGCCTCCAAGTGGGTGGTGTTCGTAGTGGGCCCGTGGACGGGAGGATTTAAGGCCACAGAGAAACAACTCAGGAGAGACGTGGAGGCGGGAGGTCCTGGAGTGAGTATTTCAGCTTGACACAAACCCTCAGGGCCCCTGTGCTGATCACTGCTAAAGGCAGACAGCCCTGCACTCGGGCCTCCTGTGGTCTGCGTCTTGGGGTTGGCAGAGGGTGTTTCTCGGAGTCTCCCTGATGCTCATGTACTGTCGCCTCTTCCCTCCTCCCAGCTGCTGATGGTGCCAACTCTAGCTGAGCGGGCTGGGGTGCAGGGTGGGTGGCAGGGAGGGCTGGAGAAGTCGGTCCCGTTTCCTGGAGGAGTGTTTCTGAGGTGGTACCTCTGGAGCCTGGAGAAGCTTTTTCTGTCATCTCAACACAATTTAGCTAGGGACCTGAAAATAGCTTTATTACATCCGCGTTGTGGCTTTACATCATTTCCTTTTTGTTGCTCTGGACCAGTTAGGGGTCGCTCAGCAGGTAATATTCACCTGACACCGTGTATGTTTCATTACAGGACGACACAAAGGAAGGCAACGATGACATTCCTGTAGGTGAGTGGTTTTGTTTCACAGAAAAAACCCCGATCGTTTCCTCCCCGTGTCACGCATTTCTCCCCAGCCCAGTGAAAGTAAAGAAGCTATCTTTGAGGGTACAGAAGTGGAGTCCTGTCAGTATTGTTGAGAAGAGGAAGGAAAAAAAAAGTGATGAGGCAGCCCCCTGCCGGAGCGCTGGACAGCCCCCAACACATGGAGCGCTCTCAATGGGCTTGTGACCTGGAACAGTCTTTACACTAGGTGAACTGGTCATTTTCTAAAAAAAAACGTCGGGTACAGAAGCATCTCTGTAGTGAGCTGCCATTTGTGCTTTACTTATATATATATCTATCTGAGGCACATGTTTCTGGGTGTCCACACAGACCTGAAGGATGTGGAGGGCACTGGATACAGGAGTTGCCCCGAGCAGGGAGTGGAGACAAACTTGGGAACCAGGTGTCTGGGAAACAGGAGTGGGGACTTCTCCCTGTAAACCACTTGCATAACTTCAAAGTTTTGTGCCCATTGAGCCTAAGATGTGGTCTGTAAAGAAACAAGCAGGCCCCTTGAGAGTCAAAGAGTTTCTGGCGCCCACAGACAGCGAAAGGAGAGCAGCCAAAGGCGCCAGCCCGAGGTGGCCCTTGCTCGAGGTGACCCCGAAACAAGGAGGCCAGGTGACCACGGTCTAAAGCAGAGGAGCCGGCAGCCTGCTGCTGCTCGGTGATTTGAAGCTGGCGGTGGCGCCCTGTGGCGGCAGGAGGCAGAGAACCAGGGACAACAAGGCCCGTCTCCTGACAGCCTGGGCGGACGGGCGGGCAGCGGGAATGGCCAGTCACCCTTTTCTCCTCGCCTGCTTCTGAGAGGGCCCCGGGCCTCTGCAGAGACTGATGAGGCCCCCCCGCAGAACGGCAGACAGTCATCACCTGTTGGGAAAAATAAGTTCGTTTGATTTTTTCGAAGAGCAGAAAACCTCTCAGAAGCCTTCCGGAGATGTCCCCACTCCCACTGAGGCCCGCTCCCCACCAGCACGGGGCCACAGTGCCTTGCCCCCCAGAGCCCCTGTAGCCACCCTCCTGAAACCTGCCCACTGCCATGCCTCCCCGGCTCTCCTCAGACACTACAAGGCTGCTCTTCATGAACTATAAAAGTAGAAGGAATGGAGAAGGAAATGGCGACCCACTCCAGCATTCTTGCCTGGGAAATCCCAGGGACAGAGGAGCCTGGTGGGCTGCAGTCCGTGGGGTTGCAAAGAGTCGGACATGACATAGCAACTGAACAACACACAGTCAGGCAGATTGTGATTGGGGGAAGCACTTCCTGATGGAAACATGGCATAAAATGGAGAGTGAAGTGACCTGGCAATATAGAATATAGGGTTTTGTAAGAAGTGAAAATTAGTGTATAGAATAATAGTTGCAGATATTCAAACAGTAAAGTCTTAGTTGCTCAGTTGTGTCCAACCCTTTGCGACCCCATGGACTAGCCCGCCAGGCTCCTCCGTCCGTGGGATTCTCCAGACAAGAATACTGGAGTAGGTTGCCATGCCCTTCTCCAGGGGATCTTCCTGACCCAGGGATTGAACCTGGGTCTCCTGCATTGCAGGCAGATACTTTATGATCTGAGCCACCAGAGAAACCCATTCAACCAAGCGTGGCTAAAGAAAAAAAAAGTAGAAGAAAGCAACCTCAGTTTATAGATTCAAAACAAAACCAAGATGCAGGGAAGCAGCGAGGCCTTGCTGGGGTCACAGAGTCAGCCTGTGCTGAGCCGGCGTTAGAAGACAGGACTCCTGGCTCCGAATGGAGTGCTCATTCACCCAGCAGGTATTCTCGCCCACTGACCCCGGGCTCGGCCCGGGATCGCACGTGGAACGCATGAGGGAGACACACACCTGCCAGCCGGGGCGTCCGTGACCACCGCATTTCAAAATACAACGTAAATTCAGTTTGTCCCTCCGTTTGGGCTTTTGAAAGAGTCCTTGCTTTAAAAGAAACAGCAAAAAGCGAGGGCAGTCAGATCTGGCAGAGTGTACTGTACCAGGAGTGGACAACCTGGGTCATAATTTTACATCCTTTGCTGTCTCTAGCCTTGGGGAAATCACCTTGACGGCGTGTATTCTGTTTTTCAGATCGCTTGACGATATCTTACTGTCGGAGCAGTGGTCCTGGGGGCCAGAACGTTAACAAAGGTACAAGGTGCCTTGTTTTCTTTAGCCCTTAGCCGAGAGATGGACTTGAGGATTTCTGTGTTTATATTCATGTGGAAATAAAGGGATTTTTTTTTATTCAACCAAGCGTGGCTAAAGAAAAAAAAAGTAGAAGAAAGCAACCTCAGTTTATAGATTCAAAACAAAACCAAGATGCAGGGAAGCAGCGAGGCCTTGCTGGGGTCACAGAGTCAGCCTGTGCTGAGCCGGCGTTAGAAGACGGGACTCCTGGCTCCGAATGGAGTGCTCATTCACCCAGCAGGTATTCTCGCCCACTGACCCCAGGCTCGGCCCGGGATCGCACGTGGAACGCATGAGGGAGACACACACCTGCCAGCTGGGGCGTCCGTGACCACTGCATTTCAAAATACAATGTAAATTCAGTTTGTCCCTCCGTTTGGGCTTTTGAAAGAGTCCTTGCTTTAAAAGAAACAGCAAAAAGCGAGGGCAGTCAGATCTGGCAGGGTGTGCTGTACCAGGAGTGGACAACCTGGGTCGTAATTTTACATCCTTTGCTGTCTCTAGCCTTGGGGAAATCACCTTGATGGCGTGTATTCTGTTTTTCAGATCGCTTGACGATATCTTACTGTCGGAGCAGTGGTCCTGGGGGCCAGAACGTTAACAAAGGTACAAGGTGCCTTGTTTTCTTTAGCCCTTAGCCGAGAGATGGACTTGAGGATTTCTGTGTTTATATTCATGTGGAAATAAAGGGATTTTTTTTTTCAGAAGCTCAAATGCTGCCAGTTTATATAATAACCCCCTTTATTCTCTTGAATGTGGTCTGATCCGCGGACTCCCAGCTGCGGGTTGCCAGGGCTGGGGTCGGTCTGGGAGCCTGAACAAAGGGACTGCACAGTGTGAGTTGGCAGCCAGCTCCCTGAACAGGTTCCTTCATTCTTGTGGAACTCGCTCCCCCTCCCCCTGCCGCATTCTTGTCAGAACCCAGTAAGTTGTGAGAGAAAGAAACCAGTGGGCATTTCATTCCTGGAAGTTTGGGGGGTTTTGTTTGTTTTTAACTTTTTATTTTATATTGCAGTATAGCTGATTAATAACGTGTGATATCTTCAGTTGCACAGCAAAGAGACTCAGCCATACATACCCATGTATCCATTCTCTGCCATACTCCCCTCCCATCAGAGTTCCCTATGCTGTACCGTAGGTCCTGGTTGGTTATCCACTTACCTGGAAGTTTATTTGTATTTTCTTTAATACTTATTAGGCTGTGCCAGGTCTTAGTTGTGGCACTCAGGATCTCTAGTTGTGGCATGTGGGATCTAGTTCCCTGACTGGGGATCAAACCCGGGCCCCCTGCATTGGAAGCTCAGAGTCTTAACCCCAGACCACCTGGGAAGTCCCAGAAGTTAATTTTTGTCCAGAAGCGCCTCACCGTCCTGGCAGGCTCATTTCATGGCCAAGTTGGTCTCCCCGAGTTCACATAGGACAGGAGCATCCCTGGGTGGGCGTCTCACCTCCCTGTGGTTCAGAGTCTGGTGGACACCAGCCACGCGGATGCTGAGGGTGCCCGAGCGTCTCAGTGACCCGCGCTCCCTCCCTTTCTCGACAGTGAACTCCAAGGCCGAAGTCAGGTTCCACCTGGCAAGCGCCGACTGGATCGCAGAGCCCGTGCGGCAGAAGATGGCCCTCACGGTAAACCACCAGCCCCTGCTCTCCCTGTAACCCCTCACTGGCTTTGAAACCTCTTCTCTGCAGAACTCTGGTTTTGCCTTTGTTCTCCACAGCACAAAAATAAGATCAACAGGGCGGGAGAGCTGATTCTCACCTCTGAATGCAGCCGCTATCAGTTCCGAAACCTGGCAGATTGCCTCCAGAAGATTCGAGACATGATTGCTAAGGCCAGCCAGCCAGCCACGGAGCCGTCCAAAGAAGATGCTGCACTGCAGAAACTCAGGTCTTTCAGAAAATGCCCCAAGCTTCTGTAAACCGATTCCTGTGGGTGAGGAGGCCACCCAGGGAATAAAGGAGGCGGGGGAGGCCCAAGACTGGCAGCGGGCAGACGGACCTTGAGTGGAGGCCCTGGCCTGGCACCTGCCGCCTCAGCCGCCAGCTCCTCTCACCATCTTGAGAGGCACTGATTGGGCATCTGGGTGTAACTGTGTTCCTCTTTGTTTCTAGGATAGAAAACATGAATCGCGAAAGGCTCCGAAAAAAGAGAATAAATTCTGCCATCAAGACAAGCAGGAAGGTCGATGTGGACTGAAATCATCCCTTGAGCCGGCAGAGACCCTCTGCAGGGCACCCAGGTGGCTGCCGCCAGGGAGCTTGGACACCAGCAGGAGACGGCTGTCTGTTCATGTCAGTGCTCTCTGTCACATCGGAACCGTCGCACGAATGTCCGTCGGGAACGAGGGTTGTAGGCCCTGGTCGCTGAGGTCTTTAGAGGCGATCACCATGTTGTCAAACCTGCCTTATCCATTCACCGTACTAGTTGCAATAAAATTCTAAACTCAGCAGGCTTCCCCTTCTCATTCAGAATGCGTCAGGACGGAATTCCTAACTTTTCTCTCAGTTGAAATCTGCCTGATAATTATTGACCAGCACTGACTGTACAGTCCAGAGGGGCACAGAGGGATGAACTGTGGGGTCTGCCCTCAGGAGCACAAGGGCAGAAGGGCTGAGCCCGGTGGGCGGGCATCAGGGCTGGGCCTGGGGACGGCTGTGGAGTGTTGACCAGGAGAGAGCAGGGAGGGCATGCTGAGTGAAGGGAACAGAGGGAATAAAGGAGGCCAGAGAGCAGGCTGGGGTGCCAGAACTGAGGAATCCATCAAATGGGGGATCTGTGTGGGGCCTTGTGGAGGTGGGTCTGGAGAGGGAGCCAGAAGTTCACGGTGAAGAGTCGAGTTCAAGTGGAGAAGTTTAGGTTCTAAGACACCTGGGTACTAGGGAGCCGCTGAGGGCCTTGAATGGGAAGGAGTGTCGTGTGTGAGGTGCTATTGCAGGCTGTGGGGTTTTGGAGATAGGGAAAAAATGGGGGACTTCCCTGGGGGTCCAACAGTTAAGACTCTGAGCTTCCACTGTAGGTGGGTGTGGGTTTGATTTCCCAGTCTAAAGTAACTCACCTGGTAAAGGATCCGCCCACAATTCGGGAGGCCTGGGTTCCATCCCTGGGTCAGGAAGATCCCCTGAAGAAGGGAAAGGCTACCCACTCCAGTGTTCTGGCCTGGAGAATTCCAGGGACTGTATTCCATGGACTGGAAAATTCCATGGGGTCGCAAAGAGTCGGACACATGACTGAGCAACTTGCACTTCAGGGAACTAAGATCCCACATGTCATGGGATACGGCCACAAGTTTTTTTAAAAAGAGTTGGGACTGGAAAGAAGTTCTTGAGATCCTATTGTATGGGAAAGCACCCAGTTCAGTCTACCAACTGCAGATTACTCAGACTTGTATGAATTCTCAAAACGTTCTCTATTAATCTAGTTTACTCCTTTGACAGTTGACTGCACTGTGATGCTCTAAACGCAAGATCATGAACTGTAGTGGTATGGACACTTCATGTCAGGGACCTCGTCCTTCACGTGAATGTAAACAGGGGGAGTCATTGATAAATGACTTATGGGATTGCAATGTGGAAGACGGGGTCCCCATCCTTAAGGGACTCAGAGCCCAGTAGGGAGCTGAGGCTCATACATGAGGAAGTACAACATTCTCTGGTTCATTAATTCAACAAATGCTGAATACCAGGCACCGGGTAAGGTCCTGAGGAATCAGCAGTGAACAAAAGTCCTTTCTCCCAGAGGACTCACATTCAATCAGAATGATAAAAGCTGAGAAGCAAAATGGATTCTGGTTAGGGTAACATGACCTAAAACATGGTAACACAAGGAAGGTCTAAATAGTTTTGGGGAGTAACTGGTTCCAGCTGGAGGGTCAGTGAAGGTGTGCCTGAGGTGCTTCAGACGGGCCTGAAGGAGGGGAGGGCCTGGCCCTGCGAGCACAGTAAGAAGCTCATCACCTGGAGGCCCCAGTCGTGGCCCAGGCCCTGCCTGCGGTGGGGACAGTGAACCATCGCATGGGAGAACGGGCTGTGAGGCCAGCTGCCCCGGGGCCGGCTCCGGACTCGCGCCACAGCCGGCTGCGGGGCCTCCGCGAAACCACTCGGCCTCTCTGAACCTGAGCTGCTGGTGCTCTTTGGTGCAAACGCAGGAAGTCAAGAAACACCTGGAGTAACAGGCAGATTTGGCCTTGGGGTACCGAATGAAGCAGGGCAAAGGCTGATAGAGTTTTGCTAAGAGAACGTACTGGTCACAGTAAACACCCTCTTCCAACAACACAAGAAACAACTCGACACACGGACATCACCAGATGGTCAATACTGAAATCAGATTGATCATATTCTTTGCAGCCAAAGATGGAGAAGCTCTATACAGTCAGCAAAAACAAGACAAGGAGTTGACCATGGCTCAGATCATAAACTCCTAACTGCAAAATTCAGTTGCCTTGTAAAGAGCCCTGTATTTGAATTAATGTGATTTAATGTGAACTTGGATTGCTAGTTCCCCAAGGTCCTTTGCAAAGGGAAATCAAATCTTCTTCAGAGGAAAATAACATTATTTTTGACATCAAATTATTTCAACAAATACTTTACAAATGCCATGTCCAGCATTCAGCCAAAGATAAACAAAAGCTGAAATTTTTAGCTGCCCAGAAGTCATCCTTTACCCAAGGCTCATGTGGTGGAAAAACTAAGGATTTATGAAGGCAGTGGATTCAGTATATGATGCAAAGGGAGAAATCAAAAGTTGGGAGGGGTGTATTTATTTTTATTTATTTCTTAGTATTTATTTGGCTGCACCAGGTCTTAATTGTAACATGTAAGATCTAGTTCCCTGACTAGGGACTGAATCCAGGCCCCCTGCTTTGGGAGCATGAGTCTTAGCCACTGGACCACCAGGGAAGTCCAGGAAGGGTATAAATGGGCCTAATGAAAGAGGCTTCCATTGCTGGGACTGAGCTCTGGGAATGGAAGAGAGCAAAGCCTTCTTCTTGCCGCTCTACTTGCAGTGGGTAGCTAGCTGGACCCTCAGATAGGGTAGCCAGGGACTAGTAGGGCCCAGATTCTCTTTATCTAAGAAATCCTATCCCTGATTCTAGCTAAAGAATGGTGAAGTTGACTCTTCAAGGTGGCTTGAACCACGGACATATGAAAGAGACCAAATTGTTTTGAAGAAGCATCCTTTGCTGGATCTTCTAATGGCTCCCATAGACTCCTGGAAAACAGGACTAAAGGAAATGTTCCTTCATCCAGGAGGGTGAAAATTGATACAGCTGTATCAGATTTAGGGGGAAAATGGTAATTTTTGCTCTAAACAATATAAAATAAAATTAAAGTTCACTATGTTTTTCCCATAGTCATGTATGGATGTGAAATTTGAACAATAAAGAAAGCTGAGCACCAAAGAAGTGATGCTTTTGAACTGTGGTGTTGGAGAAGACTCTTGAGAGGGGATCAAACCAGTCAATCCTAAAGGAAATCAGTCCTTCATATTCATTGGAAGGACTAATGCTGAAGCTGAAGCTCCAATAATTTGGCCACCTGATGCGAAAAAATTGATTCATTGGAAAAGATCCTGATGCTGGTAAAGATTGAAGGCAAGAGGAGAAGGGAACAACAGAAGATAAGATGGTTGGATGGCATCACCCCCTCAATGAACATGAGTTTGAGCAAGCTCTGGGAGTTGATGATGGACAGGGAAGCCTGTGTGCTGCAGTCCATGGGATTGCAAAGTCAGACATGACTGACTGAACTGAACTGATAAGATAGTAGCAAGATCTTCAACAAGTTGCTCACTATACTGATGAGGAAATTAAGAACCAGCAGAGTAGAAAGTGAGTCCTAGCCTGTGCCCACACTGGGGTGGGTGGCCCTTCCTTACATCCCTCTTCCCAAATGTATTTTGTCAAATTCCATTTTTATCTCACTCTCACNCTGGGAAAGATTGAAGGCAGGAGGAGAAGGGGATGACAGAGGATGAGATGGTTGGATGGCATCACTGATTCAATGGACATGAATTTGAGTAAACTCCGGGAGTTGGTGATGGACAGGGAGGCCAGGCGTGCTGTAGTCCATGGGTCACAAAGAATCAGACATGACTGAGTGACTGAACTGAACTGAACTGAGTGGCTAAGTCATGTGCAAATCTTTGCGATCCCACAGCCCCTCTACCAACTAGGGGTGGTTAGTGCTGACCTCTAATAGGGTGGTAGGGTGGTGGTCATTAGTGGCGCTGAGCCTGTACCCTGGGAACGTTAGCCATGATTAATAGCCCAGTTTGGCTGGAACCCAGGGGGTGAGGCGCTGCGGAAGACACGTCTGCCACCTTGAATGGGAGCCAGGTCTAGAAAGGCCTTTAATGTGACACCTAAGACATTTGGCCTCTGCCCCTACAGAGGCTGTCAGGGGAAGATTAATCTGACTGGGATTGGATGAGAAAAAAGACTGCAGGGAAGTGGGCAGAACTCAGTGGACAGACCCACGTGAGCAGTTAGGGGCCCATCCTGGAACTGGGCCAGTGGCAGCAGTGATGGAGAGAAAACAGCGGATGCAAGAGGGTTCGGAGGACAGAAGGTTGACTGATCGGAGTGAGAGCTGGTGTGTGACAAGGGGGTGGTGCTGAGCTCTGAGGCAGGAAAGTCACCAAGGGAGCAGGCTTGGGAGGCTGGTTGGATGATGCGTATGGTTTTGCCTGGGAGGAGCCGCTTCGTGGGCCCTGAGGAGGAATGCCTGCCTGGTGATGCCCAGGACGGGCAGTGAAGCAGGAGCTGGGGAGTGAGGTCAAAGCAGGGGCCGCAGGACAGACGGGGACAAGCAGTGTCTTGGGGACTGGGAGGAGCAACTGAAGATGAGGCAAAGCAGGGAGATGCTAGGTAAGAGGACAGCGGCGGGAAACTCGAGCGAGCATCCTGACGGTTTGACTCTGGACCTGGGGGCTGGGGCTGTGAGGCTCTCAGAAGACACTGGTGACATGTGGCGGGACTTGCGAAAGCATTTAAAATACAGAGGAGGGGAAAGAGAGGTGAAGAAAAGCAAAACTAGGCCAGGGGACAGTAGAGAGTGGAGCGCAGGGGTAGGACCCGTCATTAAAACAACGACAGAGCCTGTTACACAGTGAAATCAGTCCGAAAAAAAAATACTGTATACTAACGCATATATATGAAATCTAGAAAAATGGTACTGAAGAACCTATTTGCAGGTCAGGAATAGAAACACAGATGTAAAGAACAGACTTGTGGACACAGTGTGGGAGGAGAGTGTGGGACGAATGGAGAGTAGTGTTGAAACATACATATTACCATACGTAAAATAGATGGCCAGTGGGGAGTTGTTGTACAACACAGGGAGCTCAACCAGGTGCCTTGTGACCACCTAGAGGAGTGGGATGGGGTGGGGGGCAGGAGGGAGGTTCCAGAAGGAGGGGATGTATGTGTACCTATGGCTGATTCAT